AGTCTGTGTGCGCTGTCGCGGGGGGCGGGTTGTGTGGGAATCGCCTGTGCCGCAGTGGGTGGGGGGTGGGGCGGAAAGAAAGAGAAATCATGGATCAGGAGCGTTGTGCCGGTTGGCGTGTTGGGCCTCGGTTTGGTGGATGGTGTTTTGGGTTCTTGATTTTTTTGGGGAGGGTTGGTGTGGGAAAGTTGGCGTGGTGAAATTGTGGTGTTCGACCGCGGCCGCCGCGGTGGGGGTTCTTGGGGTTTCGCCGGTGGATTCTCGTGCCTTCCTTTGGCTGGCGGTGTTGGGAAGGGGCTGGGGCTTCTGCGATCGTATGCGGGGTTTGATTGCTCGTTGGGTGGCTAATGTGTGGCGCTGTGTTTTGGATGGGGTGGGGATTATATTGACATTTTTACAGGCCTAGCCTGTATCATGGAGAAGGAATGTGACCAAGACCAGCTGCGGGAATCTCTGATTTGCACGAGAAGTAGCTGAATGCCATCTAGTAATGAGGATGTGTGGAACGGTTACTTTGGGAACTGTTCTTGTGGTTGACAAGGATCAAAGTTAGCCCCCATAAGTATTAGGGTAATGCAGGTTTCATTTGGGGTTGTATTATGTGATTTGCTTAAGCATCATTGTCTCTCACACAAAAAAAGATGTTTCTGCATGACTTTGCCCGCGTCTCATTTCTCCTTGAGGAGACCTTTGAGTTCTTTTGGTGTCGACACAATAGACGTCTCTGGGACGACCCCAGAGAAGTCACTTGTGCTAGTTTGTGATGATTATGAGAATGTGGTACATTAGCGCTTTGAGGGATAGGCGATTATTTGGGTTTGATGAAATTCGAAGGGTGTTGCAGTAGCATATCCTAAGGAGAACGAAAGCAAGCTAAATAGCTGCAGGGGCGAGCTGAATCTGCTTTTTCTTACCTACGCTTTAAACTGTGTTTTGAGGAAGGCGCGTTTTCTGGACGAGTGAGACGAGTTCAGTTCTTAGGAGGGAATTGTAGAGATGCTTTGTAGTTCAGAATGCCCTTGGCTTTGATGGTAAGGGGATGCTATTCGCATTTTTCACTGAAGATGGACGCAGTAGCACCTTTGCTATTGGTGGATAGAAGGCAGCCTGTGGTGATTTGTCCAGGAGCAGGGTGCGTGAGCCATGCCGTATTCTGGAAGGTGATTTAATACAGCTGCTTTTCTTTCGCATTGCAGCACATAACGAGAACATTTCTGTGGCCCACTGATGCCTTTTTTCCCCTGGCCCCGGGAATTCGGTGGTGCCATTCTGATCCGTAAGCATGGGTAATGAAGCAAGTTTTCCTTGCTCGCTTCTGTTGAGAGAGGAATTACTATTTTCAACGGTGGGAATATCTTTTTTTTTGTGGAATCACGGCCCTCGTCGTTTAATTCGTATGAGTTGATGTTGGGCCATCTTGCTGTTTTTTTTTTTGCAGTTTCATTGCCTATTTCCATCTTATTTTTGGGTTCTGTTGTGCTCTTAGCGTGCAGGAAGCTGCCTCAGGCTGAGTTTATTCCATCTGCTTTTTTACGGCCTGTGTGACAAGGGGATCCCCTGAATAATAATGGTACCTCATAATTTGCCCATCTCCAGTGTCTATTGACTGACCTTTGGAATAGTTTGATCTCATTGGCTTCCTCTTGCATTATATTCTCATACTTGTTAAAGGCCTGACATTCTTTGTGTGTGTGTGTGTGTGGGTGGGTGTATGTGCCATAATGGTTTGCCTGTTTTTGGCTTACCTTTTCCTTTAGTTGTGTTCCAGTTCTTTTGGGACGGCAGGTACAAATAGGCACTGGATTTTATTGTGAAGAAGTGAGGAAGGAAACGTATGTCGATGGAGGGATGATGAGTGTTTGAATTCCTCTTTTTCTATTCCTTGACCTTTTTCCTTTTTATAGTTTGACAAGGACAAAAAAGGTAATACCGTACCCACACACACAAAAAAAAAGAAAGATTACAGAATCAGGGTTTCCTTTCGTGCATGAAGTGGCACGTGTGTGTTGTGTTAATCGCCACACTCGTGCTAGGCGTTTGCGCCGCTCCAGAGGCCAATGTGCCATGCCCAAAGAAGAATTATGAGAGCGTGTGTTCACAACGTATAGGGTGCGTTCAGGTGATGGAGAGCAGCGAAGTGGGCTCTCTGTTCAATCTATCGAAGGGTACAGGAAAACTGTCGATTTCAATGTGGCTCAAGGTGACAGCTGGCGGAGGTGGTTTGATACCAATTCTTGACATAGTCGGACGCCCCGTTGTGGATGGTAGCACTGTGAATGGTGATCGGATTCAGCTTCTATGGGATTCTGCGGCTGCACAACTGCAATTATCAGTGAATGTAGATGGCAACGAAGCTACAGTAAATGGACTGGGTGTTGTTCCACTTGTATCGGATCGCTACCGCCATCTTCTTCTTACTATGGACGCGTCAACAGGTGTGATGACAGTTTCTATCGGTTCTGTGGAGCTGATTCGTGAAACGTTCGAAGCTGTAAAGAATAACGGAATCAACTTTTCTCCAATCGCCTCGTTTGGTTACGGTACTCCTGCCACGGCTGCGTCATGGGTTCCCTTCGCCAATATGACATTGGGAGATATGTCTGTGTTCAGCGGCCGAATTATTGATCAGTTTAAGGCAGAGTATTTGTCGCAGTTTCGTGCACTCATGAAGGAAGATACGAATGGGTGTATCGTGGATACAGAAACCGAGGATCATGCGTCAGCATTCAAAGACGCGGATGTTCACACATTCTTCTTTTTCAAAAACGACAACAATGCTGGATTTTCATTTAACAACGCATCTGTGACTGACGGTGAAAGCACCATCAACGAATCCTTGTTTCTGCTCAAGTCACGCAATGGGACTGGTCACATCGAGCTGACATCTAAAAGCTGGACGCAAGAAGAGGAAGATAGCCATTCTTGCGGTGCTCTGCAGAGTGCTGTCTTTACGTACCCATCAACACCATCTTCAATGCTCAAGCATTTTGCTATGGGGCTTGTGTATGGAAGTCAACCACCTGCCGGAACAGAGTTTGCTATCGTCAACGAGGCTACTGGAGGTACGGTAGCAGTTTTTACTTCTCCTATGCATTTTGACACCATATGGTTCACTTACGGCAATGGGTCGCTGAGCTTCCAGCTACGGGCTGGGGGAGGGTTCAAAGATTTTTGTATCGCATCACTGAATGGATATGATGTGGGAAGTGCTCTTGCAGATCCGCACGTGACATACTACGAGCAAGAGTCCACCATCACTTTTTACACTGGCATTCGTGCAGGAGATATGGGAGCGTTAGTACCAGAGAATGAACCTTGCTTTTCTCCTTTGGCTACCTACGAGCCAATAGAACATGTGGCAACAACCACTCCAGGAACTGGGTACTTCGTGTTTACAGTGAAAAACAAGGGTCCTGGTCGGTATATCTTTTGCCTTCACCCTCAGGAGTTACCTGCGCAAAAGCATGCTGTTTCCCAGTGCGATGCGGCTGATACATCGGGTACGTTTTTCTGCTCCATGTTGCTTGCCCATTTGCCTGGAAATGCTATTCCCCTTTCAAATGGATGGATCAGGAATTTGCTGCATCTTGGAGAATCGTACTACGATTCGCTTCCACTTGCTGACCTGAATGAAGATCCTTTCACTTCCACAGGAGGAGAGTGGGGTCAGGATCCTCAATTTGGGGATTCGTTGTATACGAATGGGAACCGTTACCTGTGGTCCCCGCTTGAAGTGGAAGATGGTAGATTTGCCCGGAACAATCAAACACCGCCTCCTTTCTGGACACAGTACTTTGCAATTGCCATTTACAGCCCTTCTACACAATCCACTGTGATCACCGTGCGTTTCAACACCACAACACGCATATATGTTGACGGCGTTGTACGCTTTGAAGGATACACCTTTTTCCCTCAAATCGCTTATTCAGCAGTCTTTACCTTGGAGGAGGGGTGGCACCAGGTGATTGTGAAGGTGGTTTACTCTGTTGCTGGCCGTGCTGCTCCTGAAATGTCAATTCGTTTTGACAACACACACAGTTTAAGTTGGAATTACGTGAAGCCTATGACCGATTCCACTGACTGTAGTAATGGGGACCGCAATACTGCATGCTTTGGTGAGACCAATCCAACGGTTTCACATCAAGAATGTGTTGAAGCAGGTTGCTGCTATAAAGAAGATAACCCAATCAAGTGTTATACCCCCGGAAAGATTCGCCCCTACCGTGCAGATGGGCGGTGCGGACCTGGTGTTCCTATTCCCTCAAGTGATTTTGAGTTCGCTCAGTGCAACTTGCACAGTTGTTGTTCCAGTGGTTATTGCGGCCGAAGCTACGCAAATTGCACGTGCCCAGGCTGCACAGACCATAATTTTGTCCAAAATCCACGAAATCAGTACATCCTTTGGGGAGAAGGAGCAATCTGCTCTGGCTCTCGCAATGTGCACATTGGGGGTTTAGGCAAAGATGTTTGTCAGTTACGGTGTAGCCGAGACGACAAATGTGTGGCTTTTTCACAGGGCACACCCGATCCATACGGTATTGCAGATTGCTATCTATCGTACGGTGATTGTACGACAACTGTGGAAGATGCAAGAGCGAAGGTGACTTACCGCCGCCTGACTGTTGGTTGTGGCATGACTACACCTGTGAATGGCGGTTGCTCAGCACAAACTGAGGGTATTACTCTGTATGGTGAAGGCATCGAGATGGAAAGCTGCTTCAGAAGCTGCTCATTAACAGCACAATGTGCTGTCGCCGTTTATGATTCGAAGCAGGCGACCTGCTACTTTTCCAGTTTCAACTGCGCGATTGATCCAAAAGCAGACACCATTATGAGTCATTTCCAGTGTAATGGAGAGGATACAAAACCCCCTGTCCCACTACCAGCTGTTCCTGTTCTGCCAAATGCAACATTGCTTGGATGCTTTAAGGATCCCGACCATGTGTACTTTGCGCAGCCCCAGTACCCAGAATACCCCAATAACCATTACGTGAATAACTATCTTGTGGTTTCTAATGGGGATAAGACTGCTTGCTTAAGACACTGCTTGGAAGTTGGTGCTCTCTACTTTGCTCTGACTGATGGTGCCATTTGTACTTGTGGAGTGTATAACAATGAGACCCTGCTCGAGCCAGATGATAGGGTATGCGACAAGCCATGTCTGAATGGGGATGTTGACAAGTGTGGTGGAACGGCTTCTGCCTCAGTGTATATAGTGGACACCTATGCTGGCATTTGTCAGTACGGGTACTCCTACTTTCAGGGCCAATGCTTTAAGCTTGTGAAGGACAAGATGTCATGGAATGAGTCACGAGGATACTGTAACAGGGAAGGCACTACACTTGCGAGCATTGCCAACGTGACACTGAGTCAATATCTCCTTTCTTTGGCTGGCGGTGANGCTGTATGGGTCGGTGGACATCGAATCCAATCTGGGGCCGGTAATGCGTTTAGTTGGACGGACGCTTCAATGTTTGACTTTACTGATTGGCTCCCATTTGAACCTAACGGCGATATTCCTGGTCAAAGGGAAGACTGCATTTTGGCTCTTCCATCCTACCCGACACCATACCAAGGGTCTTGGATGGACGCGGTGTGCACCACCCCCCAGGCGTTCGTGTGTAAAATCGACCCTGTCGAAGGATCCATGCACCAGTATTTGCACGTTGGTAATGTTGGTGGTGATCCACCACTACACTGCGCTCCGAAGGAAGATTTTGCGCGCCAGACCCAATCATCCCTGGCTGGATACTATCTGCTGCACAAGGCGAAACTTCATGACCTAATCTTCGCTGACCAAAGTAACAAGAATCACGATATTGAACTTAAAGGTACAACCAACCCAGGTTGGGCGAGTGGAGTAAAGGATCCGGAGACCATAAAATTCAGCGGTACTTTTCATATTCAGGCATCGAGTCTCTACAACTTGAATTCGGGACCATTTACCCTCGCAGCTTGGGTGAAACCAGAAAATGAGAGCATGTCCAATAAGGTGTTACTCTCCAAGTCATATTCAAAGGAAATCAACCCTGTGCTCCCTCTGTACGAGTGGGCCCTTGTTTTCGATGACAGGGGATTTCTTTGCTTTGTTCTGAGTTCATACAAGGCCTGTGCCACGGTCGCGCTACCTCCAAACGAATGGATACATGTCGCTGGGGTTTATGACAGTGTAACAATAAGCTTGTTCTTTAACGGTACCTTCGTCAATAAGGTAACAGTGCCTTCATCTGCTATGGTGACAAGCAATGAGACTTTCGTTGCCGTGGGTGGCGAGTACAGAGAACCAGCTACCTACGCAAACAATTTTATTGGTTTACTTGACGATATTCGCATGTATGAAGCTGCACTTGGGGCGTCGTTTGTAACGTATCTCGCAAACTGTGAGGTTATCGGCAGCCACGGAAACATTTTACCCATGTATGAAAGACACAGTGATGTGCTCGATTTCATGGGTGTTGGGTTTTCTCTTAAAGAAGGTGCTGTGCTATCACCGGAGCCGTGCAGTGCCGGGGCTGAGGTAACAACTGCCAAAGTGATGGTAATCCCGTACACTGACTATGCCGCTTTTTTCGTGGTTGACGCTGAAATGATCACTGGTGGGGATTCAATATGGACGCGAAACCTGTGTGCTGTGAGCCAAGTAGATTCCAACATAATTGTCGGTGATCTCCATTTCAAGGTTGCGATTGTCTCCATCACGACTATCATGAATGTGTCCGCCTCAAATGGCTTGATCGAACTGAGTGAGAGCACATCTTACCCGCTAAAGGTGAAAGTAACAGGACACAATCTTGCGAAGGGTCAGATACTGATTCTTTCCTCAAAATCAGACTGTTTGCATGGGGGTACATTAACCGTTACAGACGTTAAAGAAGACGGTACAATTGGTGAGGTGGAACTCAAACAGGCACCAAGCGCTTCTATGGTGTTCGTTTGCTGGGCAGCAGATAGCTCCAAAGCAGGTATTCGTACACCGTTCCGTATTACCACAAGTCAAGATGAAAATACTGCCGTTATAGACGGATCGAAACAAATCACCTCTTCAGTCATCCGAAATGGATTTTACGATAACGCAAGAAACTTTTTTAAACCATGCCACACCTATGATGAGCTTGCAGACAATTTCTACGTGACGGTCAGTATGGGAGTTTTCAAGGATGTATTCATTCCAGTTAAAGGTGAAACTGTTTGCAGTCTACTCACATCGACTGGAACGGATAGGTTTACCTATTCGCGCTACGCACCCGATGAATTGCGTTTCACTGGATGGGTGCACGTTGTACCCCCATACCAGGATCCCCCGGGTGCGATGGGCGGCTCACCGATTGGCTACATGTGGGCTGCCCCACGCCAGGGCCTGTCGATGTGGGGCACTAACTATGCTTCAACCGCCCTTGGTGGCTGTTGCCAGTCGAAGGCAGGGGACATCCCTGCATGGGGACGAGCATACACCCTCCAGGTTCACCCTATAGATGAAAATACGGTGTGGCTGGACTGGGAGTACCCAAGGGCACTTTCTGCGGGTTACAGTTTATACTTCCGTATCGTCCTGCGAAACTTCAGGGGTGAGGTGCTGAAAGGCACGCATCGATTTCGCATTGCGGTTGGACAAGACATTCCTGTGGAAGTGGCGTCAGGTGAGAATGGCGTTCTGGAGCGTTTCTATTACATGCCAGATTCTGAAGAAGGGGAGTCTCTGAAGCTTACAGTCATTCTCTTGGAGAATGTGCTTCCAGCAAATGGGAATAATATGTCACGGACTCTCGTTGTGGACGCGCCAATTCCGTCTCCAGGTGCTGCATTGGATGCCACTAATCCGCTTCCCGGTATGCTGCGCTTTGGCCCTCTGGATGAGGGTATTGTACCTCCACCTAACGTCGATCCGTTCCAGCATGACTGGTTCTTTGGTGTGGAACGTACCTTGCGCCCCACTGTTGGGATGAGCAGCACTGCAGAGACTGGTCATTCTGAAACTTACATGAGTACGTGGCAGATTGTGCAGGCAGACTCCAGTGGCACTATCACAGTGAACGCAAGAAGTGGCACATTGCATTACTTTGCTTTTGCTGTGTACATTTCTACTGCTGGAACTATGACAGTTGGAGTAGAATTCAGCGAAGACATGGAGATTTATTGCGATGGCCAACTCATATTTACGACCAAGTACAATGACAATGAGAATACATTTTTTCTTTCCTTCGGATGGCATCAAATGCTTGTCAAAGCGTATGCTGGAAAAGAGAATGCACCAATGAAAATTCGAGTTATGNCCTCTGGTGCTGGGTGGGCGTACAGTGTTCCACCTGTTTTTCCTCCCGGTACCATAATATTAACGGATGGCGAGCCGATTTCGAGGGCCCTTCAACTTGGAGGTGAAGATGAATACGTATACGGAAGCCCCAACTACGATACGATTGGAGACATGAGTACGATGCGGCCTCATCCAGGTGACTTCACGTGGGAACGTCTTCAGTGGCTCCCTGCACAGGTGAACTATGGACAATGGAAAGTGGAAGGAGCAAAAGCAAATGTGGGCTCATATGCGCTTCGTTATATTGCATTTGCTTTGTACGCTTTGAGGGCTCAAATGATAACTTGGGTATTGTACTGCCATGGGCCTGCAACTGTATGGGTGAACGGTGTGGTTGCTTTTCAGTGCCAGGAAAGCGAAACTACAATCAGAGAAACATGGCTACAGGATTTATCAGCTGGATGGTACCAGATGATTGTTAAGATCTCTGCTGTATACCAGAAGTCATGGCTATTTTCAATGACCCCTGTTAATACTGAGAATATGATTTTGGTGAGCTATGCGATAGGGTCAGAGTTGCCGAATGACGTGATGCAACTCAAGAGCCGTCAAATCATAACAGAGATGTTGCTACTGCAGTCATCGGAGGGGCGTGGCGAATTCCTCTCGGAGATTCCTAACCTTGGGAATGAAGATCCTTCCAGAGCGGACATTGATCTTACCCAGAAGATAAGCCCTTTGAGTACGGTCGCGGTAAATGTATACGGGGAAAAGTACGTGGACTTTTCTTGGCAACCACAGATACGCATGGATGGAACGTTCGGTAGCCTCACAGACATCGTCGCAGGCAACTATAATCAGTACTACTCGTTTGCGCTGTACTCGACAGGTGTGGTTGGTAAGTTTTCTGTGAGCTACACAGGTGGGTTCAGTATTTTCATTGATGGCACGTTTGCATCTTCTGCAGAAGGTGGTACGATTCATCCGGTTCCATTTAACTTGTCCAAGGGTTGGCATACTGTGGTATTCAAGCTCACCGCTCTTGATAACTTCCTATGGGTAGCTGACAGTGGTACAACGAGCTGGTCACAGGCGATGTCATCTTGCCAGAGTGGGGGTTATTCCCAAATTTGCAATTTTGATGCCATATGCCCCTATAATCTGAAACGCAAGACCCTTCCCGATTTTACAGCGTCCTCATTCGTTCCTATCCTTCCCAACAACGCCGATGCAATCGAGGATTATGTGCAGATAAACGCTGATGGCGGCGACAATACATCGTTGTGTTTGACATGGTCCGAAACACACAGAGGAGCAGGACCTCCATGGGCTGAAGACACCGGAGCTATCCCACAACGTCGTGGCTACACTTGCTGTGGATTCAATGATGGTCCCAGAATTGTCGTACAGACTCTCTACAACAGTGGAGAGCTCGGATTAAGCCCGGCGGTACCGACAGGCACATTGTCACCCCCGTCAGGCGAGGTGGACAACCCCTTTTCGACAGAGCAGATGGTGACACTCTCGCATCCAGATGGAGCGGCTGAGATTTTCTACGATTTTACACTTGAGCTGAAGAATACGACAAAGTACCGCGGTCCTTTTATGATCACCACAACTTCAACGGTCATTTTCTGGGCGGTAAAGGGTGAGGAAAAGAGTTACATCCAATTTTTGCAGGTTGAAATTCCACGCGTTCTTGTGTTGCAGCGCCGCACATGCCCTGAGAATTTGCCGTGCTCTATTGAACTTGAGGGAACAGCCCCCGGGAAACACATGGCATTCGTCTGGGAGGATGAACCCAACATGGATGCATACAAACGCTACGCTACTGCCTCAGAGATTCCTCGCAGTTCGCGTACTACTGGCATTGTTACTGTGCAATCGTATTCATACATGTTTGTCCCTATTCAAGGCCTCAACGCAGGGATGTACGTTGTCTTCAACTACCCACTGGACGACTTGGGCCGGCGTCTTTCGAGCACTGTCCGTGTTGATCCATTACGTCTCTCCCCGTCAGAGGTGATTGGCCACCAGGACACTACCTTCAATGCTGAGGGGCTGGAGAAATGGGACGGAATGCTGTTCCTGGAGCAGTGGAGCGGCGGACCAGTGAGCTGCAAGACCTCGAACTGCATTTCAGCCTTCGTGGGATTCATGCCGCATGTGGGAGTGGTGACGGAAGACTCAAAGGTGATGGTTGACCTGCATGAGTTTTCAGGGAACATTCACTGCCTTTGTGTCTGTGTGACAGGGTCGTTGAGGGAGAAAACTGAAGGATACTTCTTTTTTGATTCCGACTTCGTGAGCGCGGTGCCGGTTAACATTAGCGTTACCGCTCCACCTACCCCAACAAAGGACACTGTTCAGTTTATATCACCGAAATTCCCCCGCGATGGTGAGGAAATGATTTTCGGGGGGTACTTCACCAGCAGCTCTCCGGTCACGTACAATGTTCTATTTCAACCGAAGCGTACAGACAACGCGGTGCGTCCACCGACTTGTCGTGTGATGAGTGTGAATCAGACGACACTTCTATGCAGCGTCTCTGTATCAGTGGGTACCTTCGGCAACTGGAGCAGTGAAATGTACAAGGGTGAAGCGGCCGTGACTTACGCCGGAGCCGTGAACGAACTTGTTTTCTCCCCGCCGGATCAAGCGGTTTCTGGAGCCTATGGCGAGTGCGCCACGCGTAGCTCGGCTTGCGTGGATGGCGCAGAGATAACCTTCATGGGCATCAACTTTGATCACCACCACCCAACACGCAACACTGTGCGTCTCGTGTCAGAAGGGCAGCGGAACAAGAGGACGTTGCAGCTCCACGGCCCCCGCCACGAGGCGTTGGACGAGGAGAATCAGCCACGTTGCGTCACGGTAGCCGTGACAGAGACGACGTTGACATGCCGGCTGGAAAACACTACCTTCGTACCAATGCGCTCCAGCTACGGTGTTGAACTGAACCTTCGCCTGACAGACGACTTTTCTCGCCGCTACCCGACGAACGGGTCGCTGCTGCTGAAGGGCGGCGCGCTACCCGGCTGGTCAGGTGCGATCGTGCCAACCCCGCCAAGCAATGCCCCTGCGAGCGCCTCCAACAACAAACTGATCATTGCGCTTTGTGTCGTTATTGGCGTTCTCGTCATCATGGGAATTGCGGTGGCGTTGTGTGTGAAGTGCCGCTACAATCTTCGGCGCAAGAGTGATGGGGAGGAGGAGATGTCGTTCATGGAGGAGCAGCTGCTGCGGGCGGAGCAGGAAAGCACAGCCTCCCTGCGGCGTAATATGCTGAACTCACCGATTCCACCCCTCAAGGAAGGCGAGCGGCAGCCGAGGCAGTCCACAAACTTGCTGAATGAGCTGTAGAAGACTGAAACAAACAACAAAAAAAAAGAAAGTGCTGAATGAGACTACACTAACAACGCAGTCATACAGACAGACACGTCTTGGCAAACATTCGGCTGGTGCCTAAACAATGACAGGGTGGCCCAGCACCACCCAACGTTAACGTCCAGAATATATATATATATATATATAAATAAGAAAGCGCCAATGTTGGCGACACGTGATTAAAAAGAAAAGAAAAAAGAAAAAAACCCAAAACGAAAACAGACGACTACGCTTTCTGACAACATAAAGCTATTAATTATCGGGCGTATGCGCAGAGAAGCGAAGGGCAATTATGAAAAAGGAATTGCTGGGAGGAAAAAAAAAGAAAAACGGTTGCCATATTGTTTCTCACTTTACTGTCAATTCATTTTTTTTGTCCGTTATCGTCCGTACAATTATCACGAGCGTGTGTGCGTTTGTTTGTTTTTCTGAAGAGGGTGCGAACAACAAGGAGCGGTGACGGAGCTGAAAAGGAGAGCAAGCATGCAAGGCCAAACGCGGGTATAAAATGCCACCGTTCTTTCCGACTCTCTCCTATTTATTGGTGCGACAGTCACCAGCTTCACTCCTTTATAT